TTTAAAATATACATTTTTTAATTCTTTTGCAAATATTTTGAAGAAGACACTAACCACCCATCTCAACCACACCTTTCGAATTTTCCCTCCTTTCTGCCATTTTTCGAAAGGTGGGGTTGAGAAGGAAGTTAGAGTTCGGGTGGATCGAAGTCAGGACAGCTCAAGTGGTAGAGCAGCGGCTTATTTAGCCGAGGGTCGTGGGTTCGAATCCGGCTCATGACACTGACTTTTTTATCTCAACCAATGCCTTGTGTAAAGATTAATTAATTGAAAAAAGGTTATTCGGTCAATCGGACCTCGAACTCTAATGAATTTGTTATTTAGTTGAAATACGATAATGAAGTAATTTTCCAAGCTTGTGGTTCTAGGTTCGACTCCCGATACAGCCCGTTGAATTACAATTGGTAAACAATTCAGATTAGTTTTATCTACACTTTAAAACGGCTAAAATACGAATTTTTTATAGCAGACAAAACATTTTTGGACAAGATCACCCCGATAAATTTTTTCTTGCCGATGTCTGGTGTTCCACTTAAAAATTCACAACTCCTCTGGATTTTATCGAAATCCATCGTTATTACGACCATCAAAAAGCAGGATGTTCCTCCCATCAGGCCACATCAACAACCTTTATATTTTAATTTTATTTTTTATTCATTAAAGTGAGAGAAAAAGTAAGGAAAAAACCTCCCCAACGTTTTATTTCTCCGGACCGAATTTATTTACGGAGGCGATGTTTCTGCGATTAAGTTTTATCTATAAGTCCATTATATTTAGTGGTATATTGACCAAATTACTTCTTTCAATTAATTAATCTTTTTATGTAAGGTTTTTTTTTATGAAACAGTTAGTGTCAAGAGCGGGATTCGAACCCACGACCTTCACCTAAATACGCCTGCTCTACCAATTGAGCTATCGTGAATTCAATTTTTACTTTAGCTATAAGCTTTTAAACCCCTGTAAATATTGCGGTGGATAGGTGAAGTCTGCAATATCGCCATTTTTATGATTTTCAAAAAAAAGGAATTTTGTAAGGCGGACATTTCTGGTCGAGTAATTTTTGATTTTACGCAAAATTTGTATTCAGCGGTGTTTTGGGGGAGTGAAAAAACGAATTAAAACTGTTCAACGACTCTCAGACTAATACCCATCATCATTTTTTTTGCCTTCTTTAAATCGCATTAGCATCGTACATGTTGAAATACATAATTTGAGACAGAGTGGCAAAAATATTTTTTACGATTTGCAGAAAGCAGATAACTTTGTTTTTTGCCAAAACTACTTTGCTAAGTCACTCGGTGACAAATTATGTGCCTATTTCAAATCGTACGACCGAATATATCTGCACTTAACACTTATCAATTTAGGTTGTAATTTTTTCGGTGTTAAACGGTGCTTAAAACAAATTCAAATTGTTTAAAAAATAAATAATTTTTCAACCTTTAGTGGAAACGTCTTTTGGTTTTTATAATTTTTTGTATCTCTTTTAATACGATCCTGCTTAATATTTTCTTATTCTCGATGTAAAAAAAAAAAAAATACAAACCGAGAGATATGTATCATGAAATCCTTGCAGAACAAAGGGAGAAAAGCATAAATCAAAAATTACATATTTTTTTCTCGTCTCATAGATCATGAGCGCGTGTCTTATATTTTTGTACCTAGCATCTCCAAATTTCATCAAAATCGGTTGATCCCACGTCCGAGGGCTACTCTTGTCAGAAACATATTTGTTTATCGAGTGATTAAAGTAAATATGGATTTTATCCATATTTTATTTTAAAAATTCCGACAAGTTTTTGTCAAATTTGAAGACATTTGATACAATTTTGTACTTCTCGCGTCTCAGAACCGATCGACGGTGTACCTGAACATTTTGTGTACAATTTGCAAGCTGAGGCCCATGCAATGCAATAATGGCCACAAGAGTTAATAAAGACAAATATGAAAAGCGCAGAGATTTTTACACTCTCAGACAGCTTGCTTTCAACTCCAAACTTGTCTGAAAGTGCCTAAATTTCCTAATGACTGAGAAGACAAAGATTAAAGCGTGTTCCCGGTCATGAAGGGGAAAAAGGAAAAGAACGGGGGCGTCGGTGGCTGCAACCGTTTAGGCATTGTCACGGCGCTCATCACTGTAAGGTAAAGGTCCCGGGTTCGAATCCAGCGGCCCTGCATTCGAATCCGACATACTTACAAATGGGCTTTTTTTTTTCAAAAACACCGGCACCCCGAGGGCTGATATAACCTCTGCTGTTGCGAACCCTATAAAAAAATAAAATAAAAAGGAAAAGAACATGCTGATTTGGCCGAAAACGGGAACAACCTTCCTTCTCACCCATGGGATGCAACAGAATGTGTGCTTAAGTTGGAACTGGAAAAACTACCTTGAGAAAAAAATTCAAACACTGGTCAAAAGCACCCCATATGAGGCAAGCTAAGAGATTTACAAAAATGTCAAAATTGAATGCGGTTTTAACTCTCTTAGCAGGAAGGAGTTGAGAAAAATCATAGGCCTCTATACCACTGCTTTCTTAACTATGTTTTAAAGAAGATGGGAAGAGCAGACCCTGTCAGGAAGAACCAGAGACATCGGCACATATCCTTTGTGAATGTGAATACCCGGTTACGGTACAGCCACTTCGGTAAGGCTATTCTCACACCAAAATGTGCGAAGAGGCACCAAGAAAGTGCTTAGTCTTACAGGAAGAAGTGCACTTTCCAAGTATGGCTATAATTTATAGGGGTTGCAAATAGATCTATTTAGATCGCAGTGGAGGAAAGGATTACCATTTTTCATAAACTTTTAAGTAATTGTGAAAATAAATTTATTTGGACATCTCATATGATTACATAGCGTGCTAATATGAGCCGACAATAAAACTGATTATTTAATTTTACTTTTCCACAACATAAGCTCACACCGGGTGCGCTCGAGCACGCCCACACGATACAGATTATAATTTATGTCGAGTAATGGTTGAAATTATTATTCTAGCCGATAGGAGAGATAGTTGGTCGGATGCTTTCAGGTCCGTTAATTTTTGACTTGTCAGAGATCTGAAACGGAAAGACGAGGGCCTGTTGCGTATAATTGTTGCAGTTGCAATTAAACTGGCGTTGCCGTTTTGCCATAGTCCCGTTGGGAAAAATCTGAATATGGTCTGGAAAAATCGACTGCGAAGACGTTCCCAAATCCGGTTACAACTATTGATTGCTTTGTAGGAGGAAAAATGAAGGAAGTTTCCCATGCCTTTTCCACACGGTGGCAATTTTCCTGTTGCGCAATAGGCAGACGGAATTTCGGATTGGTCGAGTGCATATACAAGACTTCCTTTTGGAAGAAAATGTCTCAATCTTTGCTTCCGTTCGTCCTTGGGTATAGATGGTCCAGCATAAACACGAAAAAATATTGGGTTATAGTACATCCTAAATAGAGTATAATGTAATAACCCAAACTGTTCTATTTCAATCCGTTGGAAGTTATTTACGAGTTTTTTTTTCTAAAAATCCCGACTTTAAGCCATAAATTGACATTTTTCAAGATCTAGAACATCTGTTTCAATTTTGAACCACATTTTTAAATTCTGCATTAAATTACCTACAAGAAGGAGCTATTTTCAATCCTATCAAATGGCAATGTAAGTTAATTTATATTTTTCTTTGTATGTAAGGTCTTGGTTGAGATGAAAAAGCTAGTGTCACGAGCGGGATTCGAACCCATGACCTTCGAATCCCGCTAGTGACACTGGCTTTTTTATTTCAACCGAGACCCTACATACAAAGAATAATTAATTGAAAGAAGTAATTCAGTCAATCAGATCACTAAACACAATGGATTTATTTATATTGATGAAGAATTAAAAAAAAGGAGAAACCTTTGATAAATTCTTTTCAATTAATTAAGGTTTTGGTTGAGATAAAAAAGTCATTGTCACAAGCGGGATTCGAACCCACGACCTTCGGCTAAATACGCCCCTGCTCTACCACTTGAGCTATGGTGACTTCGATCCACTCGGACACTAACTTCCCATCTCAACCCAACTTTTGAATTTTCCCTACTTTTTGCCATTTTTTATAAACTTACAAAAATAATTGTCTTTCAACAAACATATTTATAGGGATACCATATATCATAAAAAAATTCTTCATTTTATCAACTTTGTTATGGTGTACTCGAAATTCCTAAGACGTCAACAACCCTTCAACGGTAAAATCAACCTGGATTGGAAAAAAAAAAAAAAACGTGGTTCAAAAGTGTAAATTTAACGCGTACGGAAGAGGAGTGAACTGATTTCGATCATTTTAAACAGCATTGTTGATGATGTAGGATTTAAAAAAGGAATGAATTGTGTTAGATTATTAAGTTAAATTTAAAAAAAAAAAGAAGAGACTCACGACAAATGTTCTAAATGCCACCGGTATTACCCAATGCACGTCTGCATCGTTTTCTCATTTGTCCTAAGGTAATTTTTGTTGTTAAATTAATAAATCTTTTAGATCTTTAGGTTGTGTTATGAAAAAGTTAGTGTCACGAGCGGGATTCGAACCCACGACCTTCGGCTCAATACGCCGATTCTCCCACCACTTCATGAAGTCACGATAGCTCAAGTGGTATTTAACCGAAGGTCGTGGGTTCGAATCCCGCTCGTGACACTAACTTTTTTATTTCAACCAAAACCTTACATAAAGTTTAATAATACTCAACTTATTGTAACACGCAAGGTGAAGGTGAAGAGTTACACTTCATTTTGCTTATAACATCTAATAGGTTTCGAGGTCCGATTGACCAAATAAATTCTTTTCAATTAATTAAGGCTTTGGTTAAGACAAAAAAAGTCAGTGTCACGAATGGGATCGAACCCACAACTTTTAAGTCTCCGATCCCTGATTTACTGCGAAAAGTCTAATAAATAAAATAAACTAATAAATAAATAAAAACTCCTCTTCTTCATGCGTTAAATTTAGACATTTTTATCATGTTTTTTTTTATATTCCAGGTTGATTTTACCGTTGAAGACTTGACGTTTTTGGAACTTCGAGTACACCATAAGTAAGTTTATTAAATGAAGAAATTTTTATGATGTTTGGCACCGTTAAAATATTTGTTGAAAAACAGTTAGTTTTGGAAATTTATCAAACGTTTCTCCTTTTTTAATTCTTTATCAATATAAATAAACTGGCATTGGCATTTGATACGATTGAAAACAGCCCCTTTTATAGAAAATTTAATGCAGAATTCAAAAATGTGGTTCAAAATTGGAACAGATGCTCTAGAACTTGAAAAAATGCCAATTTATGGCTTGAGGTCCGGATTTTTCGGAAAAAAAACAAGTTTAAGTTAGAGATAGAACAGTTCGGTTGGTTTTACTGTATTTACGATGTACTATAACCCAATTTTTTTGGGTTTATACTGAACCACCCCGTATATCTCAGAAACTAAGGGTATGAGGTGTTAAAAAGACATAAATTGTTGACAAAAAACGCTCGTAAAATATAAAATAAAACACTATCTGCCATACCGCGGCTGTAACGATCACACTGTAACCGTGACTTCTTTCCAGGCGTCGACCGTTTCCTCTTAAATTTCCATTGTTATTCGACGGTAAAGATTGTTTTTAATGATCCGAAAAGGGTACAGGCCGTTTCGATCCGGGCCTGTGAAATAACAGAGCCCGGGGCCGACGAAATTTTGACCAGCCGAAACGTTGAACGCCCAAGGGCCGGGAATTCTCCGGCGTAGAAAAGTCGAACCGCGGCCTTGTCACGGTCCGCGGACCGTTTAAGGGCGAAAACGGAGGAGAAAAAATTTCACGCCGTGGATTTTCGTACGAAAGGTCTCGCCGATTCGTTCTTCCTTCGGTCGTTTTTTGACTTATTTTCTAACCTTAGAGCCATAAGTGGAGATAATCTTAAATAACTTAACTCAATCTTGAACAATGAGGGTTTTCTTTGAACGATAAAACGTACAAAAGAGTTTTTGGGCGTATTTACGTTTCAAAGACTAACCACGTGCCATGTTGTACAAACTAGTTATGGAGAGGACAGTGGAAAATCGTGCAGCGGACAGAGCTAGCTCTGGATGAATAAAAAAGAGATTGAATCAAATATACATGATGACTGGCGATGAGTGTCCAAAATTTCAGGAGCCAAAATTCTACTCGCCATATGCAACCAAAAATTTCCTTTATACCTCTGTAAAGAAGTACCCCCCAAATCTCAACGGTAAAGAAGTATTTTCAGGTTTTGGTTTTTTCGACTTAGGTTCACTAAATCGCATATAAACTTCAGAATTACTGACTGTAAAAAAATCTGGCTTGTGCCATCTGAAAGAAGGTTAAATTTCCTGTTATTTACATTGCAGAATTGATAAAAAAATCTGCACGAAAAATTCAGAAAAAACAAAAACGTTGAAATTTGGATTTAAAAAAAAATCTTTATGAAAGGTATTGGTTGAAATAAAAAAGCCAGTGTCACGAGCGGGATTCGAACCCACGACCTTCGGCTAAATACGCTGCTGCTCTACCACTTGAGCTATCGTGACTTCGATCCACTCGGACACCAACTTCCCATCTCAACCCACCTTTTGAATTTTCCCTCCTTTTCTTTACAGTATCGATTTTTTAAAAATTAAATCCGTTTATTAGGGTAAATCCAAAACGTAAACTTAAATTGAAAACTTAATAATTAATTATAGAGTTAAAAAATTTCGTTGATTTAAAAGTCACCAGAAATATTGAGAGTTTTGAGCATTTATCCTTTTAATTTTTATTTATTCAGCTTAATTACAGTTTTGCTCAAAGGTACCAACAATTAATTGTTTAAAAACAGGATAACGTTTGGTTTATAATCCACCAAAGTTTTTAACACTGGAAACCATCTGGTGACCCAATCTTTTAGAAATTGTTTCGAGCGTTATCATTTTTTCTTTAATGAATTATTTAATGTGTTAAAAAGGAAACTAACAAATAATTCGAGAGGAAAACAACACAATTTCACGCGTTGTAAATTACAAGAGCAATTTTCGTACAAGATACGTGGATTTGCGTGGAAATGGATTGCTTTTTTCCATGTTCGCGCGTTCAACAATATACTTTTACCTTGTATGAAAATTTCCATTTTTCCCATACATTTTTATAACGTCAACCTTATGTAACATTAATTTTTTTTAAACATGACGAGTATATTGAAAACAGTATCCCTGCTTAAATCTGTGCTCAGGGAGAGAAAATCTCGTTTTTTTGTTCTTTAGGTTCTGTAAGTGACAGATCACGGGTTATCACTTTTGTCAAAATTTTAATCGAAAACTTTTGCCTTATAAAATGTAAAATGTTCAGAATTGTATTGATGGTAATGATTCAAAATATCACAAAACCAAAAAACTTTCTCAATATTTTTTGTGTTAACTGTTTATGCGATTTTTAGTCGCAAGTTGTAATTGTTCGAAAAATGGCAAAAAGGAGGAGAAATTCGAAGGGCGGGGTTGAGATGGGAAGTTGGTGTCCGAGTGGATGGAAGTCACGATAGCTCAAGTGGTAGAGCAGCGGCGTATTTTGCCGAAGGTCGTGGGTTCGAATCCCGCTCGTGACGCTGCATTTTTTATCTCAACCAATAGCTTTCATAAAGCTAATAAGTTAAGCATAATTAATTGAAAGAAGTTATTTGGTCAAGCGGACCACGAAATCTAATGGGTTGTTTTAAAATGTTGGATTGGTTACTGTTAATAACTACAAACTGCTGCACCTTTGCAAATTCCTTCAAAGGTTCCCCCATTCAAATAGCTTTCAGTGGTATACCACTGGCAATGCGCTTCTTGAAGGCCCAAAAATTTTGCAATTTGTTGGGAAAAAAAACTGGTATATCGTTCAAAACCTTGTCATTATTTTTCCTAACATTAAATTATCTTGGCTAGTTAAGCATTGGTAGATATTCCTGACTAACGGTGCTTTGGCATAATGGTGCTGTTTTCATTAAGGCAGGAAGCAATGCGGGTGATCATAGGTGATCATAGCACGTTCAAATACTTTCCTGATAGAGCTAAGTAGGTCTATAACACAAGAATAAGCCCACGGGCGAGATAAGAGAAAACGTCTGTTGTCTTCTCGGGAAGATCCCACTTTTGCTAACGCATACTTTCTCCAATTACAAAGTAATAAAGTAGAGTGATCTGTAATCAAAAACATTTCCTATTCAACCGGTCGTGACAATAATTGAATGACAACAACAGATCCTATAAGAATCTAGTTGCTATTGAACGTGAGTTTAAAGGGAGACAAGCATAGGACTTAGTGAACGTCCATAGGAGACGTCTGAGTTTTGAAAAATGGGATAGTATAACTTCGTAAAATTACTCCCACTATCGTATCAAAATGAGGTGATCTGTATGTCTATGTGTACGTGAGAGAAAGGATAAAGAGAGGAGCGAGATGGATAGAGATGGAGTTAGATAGAAAGAGAGAGAGTGTGTGTGTGTGTTTTTGTAAGAGTTTGTGAAAGTAATTATAAAAATACTGCTCATCATCCTTGCTAAATTTTAAGTCTCTTCCTTCAATATATGTTATAATTAGATTTAGAAAGGTAGTAGTTTCGTGTTGACGTTTGAATCATTGCCGGCCACTAATCACGCGTCGTGGGAAGCAGACAAGACCAGTCGGTATCTTTTTTTGTTTTCTTCACTCGTTAATTACCCAAGGACGGCGGGTTAATGATAAAAGGAAAAATCCGGCAGTGCCACTGGACAAAGTATAAACAAAATTGTTTTGGAACGAACGTACTTGAACCTGAGAAAATTATCACTAGGTTCGATGGTCAGATCCTTCGTTTTTTGCGCTAGTTTAAATCCAGCCTTTGAAAGTCATTGGTAGAACATCATTTTGATAATAAACCTAATTTCAAACGTGGAAATTTTCTTGAGGCTAAAGTGAAATTGAAGGTTTTTTTTCATTTTCCTGTTGTTTCTTATATACTCTTATTGACCCTGCAAAATAGATTTCAAATTTCCAGAAAAAAATTGCAATACATCAAGGCGAAGTTTCATCTATCATTATGTCAATTGGCTTCCATATATATGCCATATTTAATTCATGATTACGCATTAATTCTATTTGATTTCATTCATCTTTCAAAGTTTAATTATCCTGCATAATTCACTAATTAGTAAATATTTTTTACATCTTTTATTTATATTTTGACAAATTTTGCTAATTATACTTAACTTTGCACTAAGTTTTTCTAAAGCAAACATGTCGATTGTTTGGTTTTGATTCCTGAAAAACAACAAACACATGATCGAAAAAATCGTTAGAACAGGGGGACACACTATGTACTTAAAGGAAAATATACACACCCCAAAAAGAGAGAGAGAGTCAGAGAGAGAGAGAGAGAGGGGGGAGAGAGAGAGAGCGAGTGAGAGAGAGAATGAAATACATGGAAAGGGTGAGAGGGAGGGAAATAATTTGAGAAAGAGAGAGATACATAGTCAGATAGATAGAGAGAGTGAATATGAAAAATTAAAAGAGAGAGGGAGAGAGAAAGAGAGAGAGAGATAGTTATATAGCTCGACATATCAATAGTTTTTCTATGAGCGCGAGAGAGAGAGAAAGAGAAAGAGGAGAGAGAGAGAGAGAGAGAATGAGAGAGAGAGAGAGAGAGAGAGAGAGAGAGAGAGAGAGAGAGAGAGAGAACGAATGAATTAATGCTGTTATTTAATATCGCAGAATTTGGTCAAATACTGACCACTGTTACATTGAATGACATAATTTTGTACAATTACAAATAATATATATAGGTTATTCTAAATTAATTTGTGTTACATTTATATAATTCAAATGTGTACAATGTTAGTATTCGATTTAAATTTTAGCAATAAAAATAATATATATAAAACGTATAATTGATATATGATATAAAAACGATGTATGCATATATTGTATGTTAATATAGCAATTTGTGATTTTCGTATTGGGTTGTCCGGAAAATAATGCAGGATTTTAAGTTTTCATTAAAAAAAATCTATATAAAATATTCTGTTTACGTTTACAGGATTACTCATTT